TCTCCAGATTGTTACTCCACTCAGCCACTATACCATTCCCTGGGTACAGGACTTATTGTATTTTATCAGCTTTCATTTTGATAGGTACCATTCATACAATTTCTTGGTTTCCTCGCTTTAAGATTAAACCCAAAATCAAATTTCTGCCTAGGTGTGGCTTGTTCCACTGTGTAGTGACACGATGTGAACTGCTGCAAACAAAGTTTTCGAGGTACTATACACACAACATAAACCTTGTCCGCTCAGGGTCTTCTATTTTAAGTATAGGTGCTTATAACTAATGACGTGTTGTAATTAATTATATCTTTCCTTTTCCATTCAACTCTATTGAAGAACTTCAATAATTTACTGCAACATCCCAATTAAAGGTGATTCGTTTGGCTTTAGATTGTCTTCTGCTAATGAGCCTGCATAAAAAACCCAGTATTAAGTGCTTGTACCCCAAGATTCTTGGTATAAGCTAAGTAGCTTCCTATGTACGAACTATTCAGTTAGACTAAATAGTAAACATGGGATAACTTTGAAATGCATCACGGCTTATCTGGTAATGTGGGGAAAGGAGAATCATTTTAGGAATCGGCAGCAACAAACTGAGTTATTGCATCTTAGACATATTCTCAACATACTAGTATCTGACAAGTCAAATGAATACATGAAAGACAAGGAGAGCCAAGCAAATGAAGAAGCTTCTGAACGTAAAATAAATAGCAGTCATTTAGAATTAATTAATTGAAAAAAGAAAAAGAAAAAGAAAAAGAAAATGCAAACTCAAGACAGCCTTAGAACTTTGAGAGAAAAAGGGTACTGAGGGATCAGTAATAAAGTACAAACCTTTTCTTTTGCCCAATCAAAAGCAAAGTTGTAAATTTCACGGAAAGTATCTGGAAAAAGGGTTTTAAAAAGAGCAAAAGGTAAGGAATTCTTTCATCTAGTCAGATAAAATTACCAGTTAAAGTGATTTGAAATCCATGTTGAAATTTCAAATAAGAAATTATTGAATAATGATGTAATTTCTTTGACCAACAATGGAGAATTCCGTGTCATGACATACCTTCATCTTTCAGCTCAGATCGCAAAAATGGGATTTTTTTCTTGAACTTCTCCAATGAATCTATTCTGCCATTCAGGATACAGCTTCATTATACATTAAACATCTAAAATTTATACTTGCCACAATAAAAGAAATTTAACTATAGAGTGGCAAAGGCCTTAATCTAGGCTTACTCAAGAGACTGTACTCCACCAATGAACTCCTGCTTGGAGAATTCACATATGGTTTCAGCTTGAAAGTGCCATGAAAGCACCAACTGTAATTGAAGACAATTGTAAGTGAATTAAAAATATTACTTTCAAATGAAAATGAAAACTTATTCTTTTACTCAAAATCAATAAAAGAAGAGCAAGCTGCAGGAGAATCAACCAGATTGGTATGGCTTAAATTTTACAGTGACATAAGTGTCATTTTGATTGTATGAGTTAAATAGTCGTTTTTCGTTAATTAATTTTTCCAATACAATACAATCAATAAAATCTTTTTCGCATCGCCCCGTTCCTCCCCCCACCTTCAAAACTAGTACTCCTTCCGTTTCAGTTTGTTTGAACCTATTTGACTGGGCACGAAGTTTAAGAAAAAAGAGAAGACTTATGGAACTTGTGGCGTAAAACAATCCATAGATATTTGTGTGGCTATAAATCATCTCATTAAAGGTAAAAGGAAAATTCTAAAGTTAATAGTTTCCAAATTTAGAAAGGGTTCATTCTTTTTGAAACTGACTAAAAGAGAAATAGGTTCATTCTATTTAAAACGGAGGGAGTATTTGAAAGAGGTGGAGAGACAGAAATAGAAAAGTAGAGGAAAGGGATAATTGCACATACCATAACTATATCCTGAGGTTCAACCTGACAAGAAAATAAAAGGTTTTACATCAATCAGGCATGATCACCAAGAAATTATCAGGAAGGTAGGAAGAAGACAACGAAATATACCATATACAACAGCATGCGATACTACAGAAGTTTAAATTAAGATTAGAAGGACAAACTATACAACTCAATCTACTGTAGACAACACCTAAAAGCACTTCTCTTGAATTCTAATCATGGAACATAGTAATTCTTGACTCGTTAGATCAGCCAATTGGGTAAAGCACCTGAAGGTCATTGCAGAGGTTGCTAATACCATCAGCCATAATCATGTCAGCCTTCGGGTCTGCGAAATGGAAAAGAGTAATATTTGTTTACATACACACATATAGAGATTGCCATATAAAAGAGATCCAATAAGATAATGCAATTTTGCTCACAAAGTATACGTTATACAATAGACCCATCTCAATAAAGATGCCTTTGAATGCAAAGAATGACAAAAGCTACTTTAGCTTTTAGTAAAAGGGTTCACAATTGTTTACCATAGCATCAAGCAAATCAGGTTCTCGGTCTACCATATGTGTTTCCAATTGTTTGCTAAAGGGAATAGGCTTATTAGTAGATCAGTATTTATGATGGTAAAAGTCTCATCCATTGATTTAGGAAGAGCCTACAAATTCCACACCCTATCCCTTCTTCGCAGAGCCAACTCCATTCCCATTCCTAGAGGAAAGGGGTTTACAAGAGAAGGGGGTCACTTAAGAGACATGAGAGATCAAATGAGTTGGTAGTTGTTGGGATGGGTTGCATGGGCAAGGTTACAAAAATGTGAAGGAACATCTGACTGAGAGTTCAATGTTTCAATGATTTCAACGGGGCAAATTTGTACAAGGGAAAAAGGATTGTAGGTTCAGTTGTCACCTCATGGTAGGACCATTTTCTTTCAAAGAGTAATAACGGCAGGACCACTCTACAGGCTAACCCGGCAAAAGAGATAATGATTACCCTACTACAATGTTAAAATGTAAACCAGTTTATAGTTAAGTGACCAATTTCAGTAAAAGTTTACAATGCTCTATAGTTAGGCATTGGATTAGTTATCTGTAAGAAAAAGGATCATAATTAGTGAATATTTCAAACTCGTGTCCTCAAAAAAGATATCTAACCAGAATTAAGTTTCAGGCATACAACGTCATTGATCACTTGAATAACAAAGTTAATAGCTCATGATGGCTTCATAAGTTGCAACATGCCTATAACTGCAGATAAATCCAGATTGTACAGAACAGTGTAACTTGACATTGTGAACTTTTAATCTATCTTATGCAAGTTCAGGTCAAAGCACGCTAGACTCAAACAACTGTACTCCACGTAGTTACTAATCAATATCTCTGATGTTCGAGTCTAAAGGCACCAAAAAAATATGCAAGCACCGATCCATGGTAAACCCCAAATGCCTTGAATGCCTAAAATAATGGTCAATCCAACTTCGGTTGTCTATTGCTGGGAGCTTCTTTTTGATCATTTCATCTAAAAGCTTGAGCTGTTAGAGAGCATACTTATATTTACTTAATTAATCCTAATACGCCCCTTAAGTGCAGACTTGATTCTTTTGGTGAGCCAAGTATGTGATAATTTTTTTTTTTTTTTTGTGATAATGGATGGTAGAGCTGAGTATATGTCGGGTAAAACCGATAGCCCGAACCGAAAAAGGTTTTTTGGTTATCGGTAGGGTTATTGGGTTAATGGTTCGGTAACGGTTTTGTGTTATTTGATTATTGGGTTATCGGTTCGAGTCTCGGTTTGCCCAATTTTATTAACGGTTTAATCGATAATCCAATAAGCTTTACTAAAATTATAATTTTACTCTTAGGTGTATAAAGCCACCTTAGGGCTTCATTCTCTATTAGTACTATGTTTGGACTTCTTAATTTTTAAGGTGTAATTGCTACTATTTTGTGTTGTTTCTATCGTGTTTCGACAAGCGGACTTGAGCAAATCTCTTAATTCTTGATATGAAAGCAGCTTTTGTAATTAGATGAAAAATTAATAATGAGTTCTTCAGTCATTGTCTTGGTAGGATACAAGTTAATATGGTGAAGTCATCCTCTTTCATTTCATAATCTAAATGATATTCATTCATCTGTGAATATATGAAGTACATTTGAGCAATTGTTTTATGCAATTGAACAAACTTTTTGATGAGGGCACACATGTATCCATGAAACTTTTATTCACTCTTTAGAACATAATTGAAAGGGATCAAGGTTATAAGATCAATTAGCGCTATACACTATGCTTTTCCTTCTAAATTAAGTTATCTTACCGGGTAAACCGATACAGAACCAATAACGACCAATAACCAATTAACCGATACCCGATAACCGATATCTTATCGGTTCGGTTATCGGTTTAGAATATTTATAAACCGATAATCATTACGTCGAACCGATAACATTCACAACTGAACCGAACCAACCGATACTGTTAGAAAACTGCATTAAGAACTGCACCAGTCCAAGTGTCTTAAAATTGTGTAGCAATTATTTACTGCATAACAGTCATTTAGTTTCTATGTTATCCCTAATTTGTAGAGGTTGGTTTTTTATTTTCAATTGAGTTTGTAAACTCTATAAATTTGTCTGAAGTTTCTAATGAATATGTAAGTTTGCTTTCATTATCAGATTCCTGATTTTCTTTCAAAGTTCTTCAAACTCATGTTCAACTTGTTAAATTGCTAGTAAATCAGATTTTTCTATTCTTTATTCTCTGTAAAACCTACAATTGGTATCAGAGCTTTCTTTTCTTAAGGGATCTGTGGGTGTTCACTAAACTCAAAACTCTCAATAAGATAGATTTGTCAAGCATGGAAGCAGAATCAAATTTCTCAACAATGGCACCTCCTATTTTCAATGGTGAAAATTATCAAATTTGGGCTGTGAGGATGGAAACTTATCTGGATGCCTTGGATATCTGGGATGCAGTCGAAGAGGATTATGAAGTTCCTCCGCTACCCAACAATCCAACTATGGCCCAGATTAAAAACCATAAAGACAGGAAAACCAGAAAATCAAAGGCAAAGGCTTGTCTATTTTCAGCAGTATCTTCTACAATTTTCACTCGAATTATGTCTCTAAAGTCCGCCAAAGCCATCTGGATTATCTTAAAGCAGAATATGAAGGGGATGAAAGGATCAGAGGCATGCAAGTTCTAAATCTCATCAGAGACTTCGAGATGCAGAAGATGAAAGAAAATGAAACCATCAAAGATTACTCTGAAACGCTCCTAAACATAGGAAACAGTGTAAGATTGCTTGGTTCCGAGTTCAATGATTCTCGTATTGTTGAAAAAATTCCGGTAACTGTGCCAGAGAGATTTGAAGCAACCATAACCACTTTGGAGAATACGAAGGATCTATCCAAGATCACTTTGGCAGAGTTGTTGAATACTTTGCAGGCTCAAGAACAACGAAGGGTTATGCGAGAAGAAGGAAATAATGAGGGAGCATTGCCAGACAAACACCAAGATGGTGGCAGAAACAAAAAGAAGAAGAACAAGAAGAATCAACCAACAAATAATGAAGGCATTTCAGCAAATACCACCAAAGGTAAAGCAGGAAACGCAAAAAGAAGTTATCCTCCTTGTAAGCATTGTGGCAAAAAAGGCCATCCACCATACAAGTGTTGGAAAAGGCCTAATGCCAGGTGTAGTAAATGTAATCAACTTGGGCATGAAGCTGTTATTTGCAAGAACAACGGTTAGCAGCAAGAAGCAGACGCTCAGATTGTTGATGGAGAGGAGGAAGATCAACTCTTTGTCGCTACATATTTTTCAAGTAGATCGTCGAGCGATTGTTGGTTGATTGATAGTGGTTGCACTAACCACATGACAAATGACAAGGCCCTCTTCAAGGAATTGAAGCCCACGACCATTACTAAAGTCAGAATAGGTAATGGCGAACATATTGCTGTCAGAGGAAAAGGACCAATTGCTATTCCAAGTCATTCAGGTACTAAAACAATTTCTGATGTGCTTTATGTACCTGACATAGACCAAAACTTGCTAAGTGTTGGTCAGTTGATGGAAAAAGGCTACAAATTAATTTTTGAAGATAAACATTGCTTGATCAAGGATGTGTCAAATCAAGAATTGTTTAAAGTAAAAATGAGAGGCAAAAGTTTCTCATTAGATCTATTTGAGGAGCATGTCATTTTTTCAGCCAAAGGAAGTGCTGCAGAAATATGGCACAAGAGACTTGGACATTTTCACTATGAAGGGCTGCTTAAAATGCAAAAATTGAAAATAGTTGAGGACTTACCTGTGTTGGAAGTGAATTCTTCAAACTGTAGTGCTTGTCAATACGGGAAGCAAAGCAGACTTCCATTTCCAAAGACAACTTGGAGAGCCTCGAAGAAATTACAATTGATTCATACTGACATAGCAGGACCTCAAAGGACCCCCTCACTAAAAGGTAGCCTTTACTATGTCATTTTTGTTGATGATCTAACCCGCATGTGTTAGATTTACTTTCTCAAATACAAGTCAGAGGCTGCTAATATCTTTCAGAGGTTCAAAGCAAAAGTAGAAAATGAGAGCGGTTGTAAAATTCAGTCGGTAAGATCAGATAATGGAAAGGAATATACTTCTCAACAATTCAACATGTTATGTGAGGAAGCAGGGATCAATCATTAGCTTACTACTCCTTATACTCCACAGCAAAATGGAGTAAGTGAGAGAAGGAATCGATACATTATGGAGATGACTAGATGCATGTTGCACGGCAAGAACTTGCCAAAGAAATTCTGGGCAGAGGCAGCAAGTATAGCAGTGTTTCTCCAAAATAGGCTTCCTACAAAAACAGTGAAGGATCGAACTCCTTTTGAAGCTTGGCATGGATTTAAACCATCAATAAATTTTCTTAAAGTGTTTGGTTGTCTCTGTTTTTCCTATGTTCCTCAGGTTAAACGAGATAAGTTAGACAAAAAGTCTGACCCATGCATTTTTATTGGATACAGTACAGTTTCAAAGGCATATAAGGTCTTCCAACCACAAACTGAGACTATAATCTTCAGTAGAGATGTGTATTTTATGGAGAATGAAGAGTGGTGTTGGGAAGACTCAAAGAAACCTATCCTGAATTCTCTTGACTCAGCACGAAAGGTTCCTGAAAAGCAAATATCAGCCTTATTGAAGGATGAGATGGTTGATCATTCACCAGTTCAAGGTACTCGATTGCTCTCTGATATATATCAGCAATGCAATGTAGCACTATGTGAACCTGCTGGATACAGTGAGGCCAAGAATGATGAGAACTGGGTAGCTGCAATGAAAGAAGAGTTGTTTATGATTGAGAAGAACAAGACTTGGGAGCTTGTTGATCAACCTCAAGACAGAAAGGTAATTGGGTTGAAATGGGTCTTTAGAACCAAGCTAAATCCTGATGGTTCAGTCAACAAGCATAAAACAAGACTTGTAGTTAAGGGATATGCACAAACTTTTGGTGTAGATTACTTTGATACATTTGCACCAGTTGCTAGGCTTGACACAATCAGGTTACTTCTTGCTCTTGCTGCACAATTGGGCTGGAAAGTGTACCAGATGGATGTCAAATCGCCATTTCTCAATGGTTTACTTCAGGAAGAAATTTACGTGGAGCAACCCGAGGGCTTTGCGGTGAAAGGAAAAGAGGACAAAGTTTATAGGCTAAGAAAGGCACTTTATGGTCTTAAACAGGCACCAAGGGCCTGGTATGGTCGAATAGATGACCATTTGCTTGGCCTAGGCTTTGAAAATAGTCCATCAGAATCTACTCTTTATGTTAAACATAATGGCATTGATATCCTTGTTGTTTCTATCTATGTGGATGATGTACTAATTACAGGGAACAATACAAGGTATATCGAGAATTTAAAGCAAGAAATGATGCAAGCCTTCGAGATGACTGACCTTGGTCTGATGTCCTACTTTCTTGGAATGGAAATCAAGCAAGGACAAAATGAGGTTTTCATTTGTCAGAAGAAGTATGCCAAGGAGATTCTGAAAAATTCAACATGGAAGATTGCAAGGAGATGAGCACTCCTATGAACCAAAAAGAGAAACTAAGCAAAAATGATGGAGCAGATAAAGTGGAGGAAGCATACTTCAGAGGCTTAATCGGTTGTTTGATGTACCTCACAGCTACAAGACCCGATATTTTGTATGCAGTAAGCATTTTATCGAGGTTCGTGCATTGTGCTAGTGAGGTGCATCTAAAAGCAGCCAAGAGAGTTATCAAATACATCAAAGGGACCATTAATCACGGTGTCAAGTTTCAGAAGAGTCAATGAAACTACTTGGGTATTCTGATAGTGATTGGGCTGGAGCTGTGGATGACATGAAAAGCACATCGGGGTATTGCTTCAGTCTTGGCTAGGGAATTTTTTCATGGTGTTCAAAGAAGCAGGACATTGTTGCTCAATCTACTGCAGAGGCAGAATTTGTGGCTGCAACAGCAGCAGCGAATCAAGCATTGTGGTTGAGAAAAATATTGGTTGATTTACACATGAAACAAACTGAAGGCACTGAAGTATTTGTGGACAACCAAGCTGCGATAGCAATTTCTCACAATCCTGTATTTCATGGGAAAACTAAACACTTCAACATCAAGTTTTTCTTCTTGAGAGATGTGCAAAAGAATGGTGATGTAACTCTACTGTATTGCAAAACTGAGGAGCAACTGGCTGATATCTTCACCAAGCCTTTACCAGGTAACAAATTTGAGCTTCTCATGCAAAAACTTGGAGTTTGCAGCTCTTAAAGCAAGGAGGAGTGTTAGAAAACTGCATTAAGGACTGCACCAGTCCAAGTGTCTTAAAATTGTGTAGCAGTTATTTACTGCATAACAGTCATTTAGTTTCTATGTTATCCCTAATTTGTAGGGGTTGGTTTTTTATTTTCAGTTGAGTTTGTAAACTTTATAAATTTGTCTGAAGTTTCTAATGAATATGTAAGTTTGCTTTCATTATCAGATTCCTGATTTTCTTTCAAAGTTCTTCAAACTCATGTTCAACTTGTTAAATTGCTAGTAAATCAGATTTTTCTATTCTTCATTCTCTGTAAAACCTACAGATACCCACCCCTAATGGATAGCGGTGAGACCCGAGTCTGAGCATCCAACCCAAAACGTTAAGGCATTGGGTGGAGTGGCACAAGTTATTAAAAATCCACTTGGAAACTCTTACACAACCGATGAAGGATAAATGTATTCTCTAGCACCCCCGCGCATGTAACACAATCGATGAGGGCATGACGTAGAGCGTCGAGCTTCCCATACTTGGCAGCGTCGAAGAGTTGAGGTGGTTGGGATTGACATTGGAATCGGGCTTCTTGAACTTAGTTTCTTGTTCTAAAAAGGCTTCTTCTTCCTCTTCGCCTATCATACCGTTACATCGGCTTGGTACTGCCATGTCTCTCCGTGGGTTTCTTTGCTCTATTTCCTCAACAAGTCAAAACCCTGCACGTCTGCACAACCGCTTTCTCTCCTCATATCCTATCATTTGAGCTTCTCTCTCTCAATTCAATCCATCGAGATGCTCTTGACTTCTATCTCTCAAATCTGCCCATAGAGCCACTGACATTGCTCCAGGCGCACTCATTATAAGCTTTTTGAGCATAATCTCTCTCATTCTACTTTAGGCTCGCTCTTATTGATCCATCTCTCTCTACTTCAAAAGAAAGAGAACTTAAATCCAAAAAATATCTTCAGTCCACGTGTAAACCCAACCGTGTTATATTATTTAACATGTACCTGACCAGGCAGAGGTGAACATGTAAATATCATTAGATTATTACTAGCTTCAAGGGCTTGTCATACTAGGACCAATATTTATGGAAAAAAGCCCCCGGTGAGCTTGTTGAACCTGTCACTGAAGCTCTGACATCAGTTGTTGGGTTAAACCAACACAAAGATACTCTTAACAGGATGTGATAATAGCTCCTTTTACTTATCAACTTATAATGTCGACTTTGTTCCCACATCCAACAATCTCCCTCGAACTAAGTTCCACATGACCCATCACCACAACTCTTGGGCCATCAAAGGCCAGAGGCTTCTTTTATGTGTGAGTTTTCAAGCTATTGGCAAAGGTATGAAACAGGCCTATAAACGGGCAAAGGGCAGAGGCTTCTTTTATGTGTGTGAGTTTTCAAGCTATTGGCAAAGGTATGAAACTGGCCTATAAACGGGCAAAGGCAGTAAGCTCAGCCCCACGCCATCATTCCACCATCTCTATACTCGTCTCGACGAACCATTGAATTTGATACCAGTTGAAGGGTGTGACCATATCATCTTTTGAAGAGAGCATAATTTTATCTACTTAATTATGTTTTCTACAGAAGCAACCCATCCGCAGAAGTGTCATAAGAAGAGTGCTAAGTATGTTTATTCTTCATTCTTTTCCATATCAGCTTCTTCCAGGATCAAGACATCAGAATGATTGTCACCAACCTGTAAGGTTTACTGGATACCAGTAGTTATTTTGACTGCCCCATTGTTCCAGCTAGTAATGGTCATTGGCCCAGAATAACCAAAATAAATTATTAAAAATAAAAGAGAAAATTCAACCAAGTTTGCACAGATGCTTTTGTTTATTGATAAAGCAGATGTAGATTATTCTATAAGAAAAATAGTATCAAAGGAGTAAACATGTAAACTGTCAAAATAATAAGTAATATTCAGTTTTCAAAATTATAGGAGACAGTCTTTACCTTTGTATTTATTGAAAAGCACCTCCCATCGATTTTTCTCTTGAACTGCCTTAGCATTTCCCTCGTTGTAGAATGCTTCCAATGCTCCTTCAAGATGCCAATCGTGGGTCTTCATAGTCTGAATAGCAACTTTCTCACTGTGTACAAACATAAAGATTAAGGGGGGTAAGCTATGCAAATAGGGCCTCTCAAGTTAATCCACAGTATTTTTTTGGTAAAAAATTTAAAATGTTCATGTAAACATTAATGTTCTTTTAGAGGATCCTGTGACAAAATAAATGAAAAATGAATTTGCTTAAGATCCTGAATTGGGATAAAATGCAGCCATTTGGCATTTAAATATCACAGAAATTGCCAATGTTTTGCTCTCAAATCATCGAGTCTTTTCATAATGAAACAAACAAGTGTGTATACATATAATATATATATATATATATATATATATATATATATATACACACACACACACATACACATACGTACATAAAGATAGGGGGATGGAAAACGAGAAAAGGATTACAAGGTGGTGAATCGAACCCCAACTAATAAGGTGGAAGTTTAGGTAGCCAACCAGTTTAGCTACCATGATTCACCATATGAAATAAGTGTTAGTTTACAGCATGTATATAGTGTAGTATTGTCCCACATTGGTAGAAGAATAGTATGTCCTTGTATAGTATAGCTACAAATAAGGACCTCTTGTATTGTATTGTTCATCTAATATCAATAACATATTTTCTCCCGTGCTTTCTCACATGATATCAGAGCAATTGTGAGAGACTTATCGCTGTGCATAAATTCCAGCGATTCCAGGAAAGAGAAATCGTTGTGCATAAATTCCAGCGATTCCGGGAAAGAGAAATCAGTACTTTTTTAAGGCTGTTTTCTATCTGTTTCATTTCTGTCAGTGTTGTGCAAAATCCAACACTACCACAAGAGTCGTAACTGTCCGGCGACCAAACCCCAGTGAAAAACTCCGGCAGCAGCCTCCTCACGCGCGTGAGCTCACGCGCCGGCGCGTATGACCACTTCCGGCCATTTTTTGAAAATCTTCCTTCAGAGCAGTTGGGTCGCCTGGTAATTCCGATCCTACCCCTACTGTTTTCATTTCATTCCGACAACTTTGAGTTTTTTCCGGCAGCTACATTACTATTCCGACAGCTACAGTACTATTCTGAAAGCTACAGTTTCAATATTCTGTTTTTGTGTTTCCGTACACTGTTTCAGTGGATTACAGTTGATTCTTTCTCCTATTT